CAACACCCACCACCAGGACGGATCCTGAAATATGTCGACTTATCCCAGACAAAGGTGAACATGCATGTGTATAATCAACACAGGAGGAAGACAATACTCACTCGAGGAAGACACAGCTATGTTGTGCTGATAAAGAGTGACAAATGTATTGGGAGTTGTCCCCATAACAGCTGGAACAATCTTCTCCAAAAGACAAAGGCTGCGAGCAGCTAAAGACAAAGATGACAAATTTGGTGTAAAAAAACATGATGTAGACAGTGACTGTTCCAAGGACACTTCAGAATGCACCAGTCATATGAGTTGACAAACCCAACCAGTGAGCATAATAGGTGAAAATATAATGAGAAACAGATGAATTCCATGGAACAAAAAGACAGGAACAGGGAAAGAAGTTTGGCATTCCAGTGAGTAGGAAATGCATATATATGTGGAATGACAAAAGGAGGTAGTATGAGCCATATAACATAGCAGGTAACAAACTGGACAGAGTAGATGATCCGGATCCAAATGAGAGAAACGGTGGGAAAAGGAAGTTATGGAGATAGGAGATGAGGACCAACAACCTTCCCAGGCAGCAGATGTCCTGGGAAGGAAAGCCCAATCCGGATAGCGGATAACATATGATAAATGGTAAAGAATGTGGGAAACATTAATGGCATAAATATATCGAAATGAGGACATTTGCATGCTAGGAGGGGGAGGAAATAGGTCTTAAGGGAAAATTGGTACCAGGAACACATTGTAGAAAGATCAATGGGAGAATCAAACAGGGCACGAAGGACAACAATGACATCCCAAACCAGCAGAACACAGGAACAGGGAGGATGGACCAAATAAAAGGACCAGAAAAGGATGGAAATAACCAAGGAAGAGAAGGCATTCTGGGAGTGAGAGAAAGGAAGGTGTTTGACAGGGTGGCCCTAAAAAGAACAACAGTTGAAACAGACAAACAACTAGATGAAGAACCAGGACAGGTGTTGGAACAGAAGGACAGGATGGTCGGAAGCCAAGGCCAATAGACCAAAGCCCCTGGCACATAGACAAGGAGGAAAGGTGATTGGTACAGGCAAGGAAAGACACTACACAAGGGGCAAGTCCCAGAGTTGAGGAATGGAACCGGACAAAAGTTACACGTGAAGCTAGATTGTGGTGATGTTAGAATTAAAAACATCATGATGGTTGTCGGAGGAGCAATCAGGACAGAGATAGGAGCAGGGGCTGTTGCTCCAGTAAGGGCCAGAGCAGAGGGAACCATGTTTGAGTCATCCAATACAGAGCAACCAGCAGAAAACAACAAGGAGTGATCTGGATAAAGGAAAAGACCCAGGTGAAGAGTCTGATCAGAGGGTAGGGACATAGGTGAAGGCCCCCTCCAATCTGGACTGAAAGCATCCACTCCCAGAGCTGAGGGGTGAGGAACTGGAAACCAAAAGGGAAGGAAGTTTGGCATTCCAGTGAGTAGGAAATGCATATATATGTGGAATTACCAGTTGAGAACCCACCTACAGAAAAACCTGAGGATGAAGAGACCACTCTGTGGGGAGAACCTGGTTGAGACATGATAAGTGAACAGCCACAAGATTCATAACTCCGGGAACATGACATGCCAGAATAGTCATGTCATGGTCAGGGTCTAGTACAGAAGAGTCTGAAAACACAAAGATCTGGACTTGGTTCCCCCTTGCTTGTTAACATAGCTGATGGAAGTGGAATTGTCAGAAGGAGCCATAACCACCCACCCCAGCAGGAACAGGAGAAAATGATACAGAGCCCGATGAACTGCAAAAGGTAGAAAAAAACTGGAAATGGAGAGTAATTTCCTCAACTCACTACCAACCCTAAATCTATGGGGAATCGAGGAATGGCCACGAAGGAAGCATTTGTAAATAGGTGAAACTCTGTACTAAGCGGAGGAATGGAAACTCCCACCATGGTCAAGTTCCAGTCAAGCCACCAAGCAAGGTCAGCCCTGATCTCAGATAGAAGAGAGATGGGATGGTGCATGCGAACCTTTTATGCAGAGACAAGAGAAGGTAAGGCAATCATGACTGCCTGCTCCATATCCAGGAGCTGAAGTGTAGAAGGCTGGACTCAACTGAGATAGAAAGTGAAAAGAACCCCCAAATGAATAACATACTGTGAGAAGTAAAGAACTTCTCCAACTTGATTAGAAACCCTAACCGAGCATCTTCTCAAAGAAGTAAGCGGGTGTGAGTGACTGACTTGGCACGGGAAGAGGTGAGCAGAAGCCAGTCGTCCAGGTTATAGATGGTCCAAAGACCCAGCAAGTGAAGATGAAGTGTAAAACAGCATACCACTCGATAAAACACCTACGGAGCTGAAGAAAGACCAAACAGCAGCACCCAGAACTGGAAAACAGAACCCTCATGGATGAAATGAAGAAAAAGGACATGACACTGGGGTAAAAAACTCACCAAAATGAGAAGTATGACTCCAGAGTGAAGCGAGGTGTCTCCAGATATGAATACAGTTTTGGGAAAGAGCTATGATTGGACTCCAATCTCCCATGTAATTTGGAGACAACAAATAGACAGGAGTAAAATCACAGTTGGGTGGGCACAACCTGTTCGATAGCTCCTTTGTGTAGTAGGTCTCGAACAGACTCAGCAAAACGACTAGACGGGGTACAACCCTGAGGAGGAGAAGAAGAAGATCTGGGAAGTGGATAGAAAGGTAACAAAATGGAAAGCATAAATCCACAGACAGAACCCATAAAACCCACAGAACGATCTTAATGTGTAGCCAAAGACACAAATTAAACATACTGAGAGAAAGTAAGGTGTACAAAGTACATTAAAAAAACCTGCAAAAATATGAAATTCAACCTGAAACAGAAAACAATAAGTAACACCCAAAGTACAAAGCCACTAAAGGAACTAAGAAAATAAACCACTCTTAAATATCGAACATATAAGTCAACCCAAACAATCTATAAGACAAAGGACACAAAAATAAAACCACCCTTAAAGAACATGAGAATAAAAAGGTACCAGTTAACAATAACAAAGCTTAACTCTAAGCAAATCCCCGATTAGATGTGACTAGTAGCGAAGGAAAAAGAGCTTACTAACAAAATAACATTACAGTATAAAAGAGATAAGATGCAAACAAAAACAAAGGAATAATCAAACTCCAAACATAAGTTTAAACTACATTAGCCGAAATTGTAAAAGAAGTATAAA